TAGCTGGTTTGTGTGTATTGCTTGTACGATTACTCGTTCTGTGCACGCTGAATGCCAGTGATCTTTCTGCTTATGACCTCGCTGACGCTGAAACGGCGTATCGCCCACTGGCACATGCGATTACAAGATAGGACATTACATCATGAGTCCATCTCGAGATCGCCTACCGTGCAAAGCCCTCCTCCCCCTCATACAACCCGGCAATCTCATAATCAAACGGCGGCTCCGGCACATCCTCCACCCCCTCAAACAGGCGCGGCGTCGGCGCATAACTCGACCCCGACGTCGACCTCGCCAGGACCGTCCCGCTCTTCGACACCGGCCTCGAAATAACCAGGTCTCTCCCGCCAGGCAACGAGTGTCCGCGCGTAGCAGCGAGCCAGAGCGCCGCGCTGTGCGTGTCGATCATCGCGGGGCTTGCTGCTCCGACGGCGTGGAGAGTCGTTTCTTCTTCGCAGTACGACTCGGACTGGGACTGGGATGAGGAGGAGGAGGCGAATGTGGCGCCGGTTAGGAGGGGCGTTTTGATGTCGCTTGCGTCCCATGCGTCGTCTTGGTCGTACACGGGCGGACCCCCCTGTTTGGATCCAGAGGCTTTCTTGCTCTTGTGGCGAGCGAGAAGAGTGGATGTCTCGGCCTTCTCCGATGTAGGCGTCTGGGAGTCGCCCTCTGAATTCGTCCCAACGACGAACCCTCCGTCCTCTCCGTGCCGGAAGAGACGCGATCCGATCGAGTACTCCTCTCCACCCCCCGCATTCGAAGTCTCCTTAGCGCGTCCTCGACGCATGCACCGACGATATAGTAGCATTCCAACCAGAACTCCCAGTCCGAGGGAGATGAGACCGAAGATCGGCGTTAAGAGGAGGAAGTTGAATGGTGCGACCGCGCTGAGGGGGTATGAGCGTGTTGAGGTGTCTGTCGAAGATCCATTGTTGATATTCGTGCCGTTGGAGTCGGGCGAAGGTGGGAGGGCGGAAATGGATATGATTGGTGCGGCGACGGCTGTTACGGCCAGAGCGAGGACTGGGGTCGACATGGCGGGCTTGGGATGGAGAGCACCGGGGAAGCGCTAATGGCTGGATACGTCGAGAGGACCGAGAGGGATGGTCAAGAAAAGAGTCGAGCGTCAGGATACGACCTATAGCTACCTCTGGGTGATACATTGACCTGTCCTGGACCGGTTCAGAACTCGATGCGAACCGTCGCGATCACCGATGTATATGGGACTGGGCCCGACCAACACGCCCCAAGAAGTGAAACAAATCCGATCCGTACTTTTGTGTATGCATCGAGTACAGTACATCCCAAGATATCATCCTATGATTAATTTACGCGGGAAACCCAAGGTCGTGAGTTCTAGGGGTCATACATCCTAACTCGTGACACATTATAATGCGTTCGAAACACAAGTGAACGGCTTCCCATAGGCGTCCAGCTTGTAGTTGTCGATGATAGACTGAACGGTCGAGTACGTCCCCGCGACGAGGATGTACGCGCCGATGACGATGAGGAGGTAGTTGAACGCTGTCTCGGCTGAGCGACGAGGGCCTGCCCATCTCTTTGCGGGAGGGTGGAGGGTGAGGTAGGCCATGCCCCAGAAGATGAAGCCGAACCAGCAGTCTGGCGTATGCAGATCAGTTGACTATGTCATGGGCGTATGAGTAGAAGATGGACGTACCGAAGAGCGAACTCATGAGCGAGAGCAAGTCGCTGAAGAAGGGGATGACCTCGGCCAAGATGAAGGCGAGCGCCCATAAGGTGGCAAGGATAGCGGACCAGACTGTCCAGCCGAGCACGGTGTTCGAGTGACGGTGCTTCGAGTTGCGGAAGAGGCGGAAGAAGATGAAGCGCGCGCTAACGGACTGGAGGCTTCGATCAGGATGCGCTCAAAGGCTGGAGTGGAGTGGGAAGACGTACGGCGTAGAGTGCTCCCAAGAACAGGATAGTCGGAAGCGCGAACGAGAAAGCGATCTTCTTGTAGGGCTCGATGAGGGAGCCGAACGCAGGTGCGGTCATATATTGGTTGCCGACGAAGTGGTACATGATGGCACCGCAAAGCGTGAACACAATGATCTCGCAGATCGTCACGGCCCAAAGCGCCTTCGGGAAGTCCTTGGGCTCCTTCATCTCCGCGATGAACGAGGGCAGAGTGATTTGGCCAACGAGGGTGTAGACGATGTTGAGTGCCGCGGACATGCCAGAGATGTAAGGCGTGCCATGAACAGGGATGACTGTAACGATGGGCTCCGAGCCGGCAATGTATCCGTTCGGGTGGTCCTGGATGCCGGAGAAGATGATGGCGAGGAGGACGGCGATACCCATGGTTGCGGCCGAGAACGTGCCGATCCACGAGAGCTGCGAGAGTGTGCGCGGGAGCGAGACGAACCAGCAGGCGATGGCGGCAATGACGGAGAAGGCGACGGTGCAGACTGCGCCGCCCGAGATCGTGTTGAGCCACTTCGCGCCGACGAGACAATGCAAAGCCATGATGAACGTGTTGTTGCCGATGAAGAGCACCGCGGTAGCGTTGTATGCCCAGTTCGAGCCGCCGAACAATGCACGTCCAATATCGCAGACGTCGCGGATTTCCGGGTGCTTCATGCAGTACCTCCACAGAATCAGGGAAGTGTACTGCACGATGGCCGCAACGCCAATCGTGAGGATCACGCCGGGGACCATGCCCAAAACGGAGAAAGACCTGTACGGAGCGCAGGCGATCAGGAAGACTGTTGTATTAGGGAATCAACAGGATCACGAACCAAGGAAATGATAGGATGGCTAAGCAGATGTACTCCGAGAATAGCAATGCAGCCGTCTGCGTTGAAAGTGTCAGTTCATCGGCTGCTCCCCCGAGACTGTGTGCGCACCTTCTGCCACGAACAAGAGCGAAACTTGATTTCGTGGCCTTCCTCCTCCTGGACCTGGAGCTTCACCTCGCGCGACGCATCGTCAGACACCGAGGAAAGACTCTCGACGTCGACGTCCTTCCTCTTTTTGTCCAAGACGTCCCTGTCCACGTTCACGGTCGACATGACCTCCTAATCGAACGGGTGATGGAGGGGGAGGGGTGGGTGGAAGACCGCGAGGAAAGTACAGCCGTCCTGCTATATAGTCTACCGGCATGTGGCTCCAAGAGAGGCACAGGAAAACTATCCGATCATCATTCGGACGCGTGCGTTGGTCGGCTTTGCTGTTCGGAGACAAATGCGGGGTGGAAGAAATCTCAATGGGAGAGTGAAGCCGGCAACAGCGGTTGCAGCCTAAGCGCGGGTGCAACACTGGATCCTGAGCGTATTTTATATCTCCAAATGCCATTGTTTGCGGGGATGAAGGACATGTTGTCGGCGAAGTTCTAGGAACCGTCAGGTCTTCTATCTGCACCCAAGAAAGTAGGCGCCCTGAGCCTGAGGAGCTGAAGAGATCGGGGTTGAAATAGAATCGCGCAAGGAGGTCCCATCAACGCGTCATAAGACGCGATACCGACTCGTCGACAAGCGTACACATGCCATTTACGCGTTGTCTGCAACCGCCACGACGCTGCTCAGTAGCACGACACTCTTGCCTGTATATTCGGTCAGCTGTGTACGCTTTGACGCACGCTCTCATGCGTGGCCACTTTAGACGCTCGAGAAGCTCCCCCGAGATAAGGAGGACGCTGCGCCAGACCAACTCGTAGCGCCACTGGCCACCAGCACATGATAGAAGCCCAGAAGTCTGTTTGCGCAGGACTGCAAGCGTACGAGATCATGATGCGCGCCCTGCGGTCCAACAGCGCTGACCGCGCGCTGTATCGTCACCGGTCTCTTACATCCATCCGGATGAGCTGAGACGAGATGCTCGACGGATGGCTTTATCCCATATGAGCGTACCAGGTTACTTATGTGCTCTTCTTACTGTCGCGCGTCTACAGTACATCTCTACCCTTGTTCGACGCCCAGTCTCCACACCAGGATGGTCGCTAGGTTCTTCGATCTCGGATTGGGGAGCATACGAACATCTTGTACGCTACACGGTACCCTGTTGGCGTATAGGGAGCTCACGACGGCACATCTTTTCAAATGACATTCAATTTTAGGCCGAGCGCTGAGATGCTGTTCAATATCATACGGAAACCTCCAGTCAATGGTTTACCGCGCCACGCAGAGACTAAGAAAGCACCCACCCATGCTGTAGTAGGGTCAACATCCGTCTTCAACGCCCAGGAGTCCAGGACTGCGCTGAAAAGCTGATGCCGCACAACTACCGTGGACTACTCGCCTGTGCCGAACGAGCCGCGGCGCGCGTCGCCACAACTCCCGCGGAACATCCGGCCTCGGGCCCAGTCTCCGTGACGGAGGTCTCGCATCCAGCCGCCGTTCCGCCCTGCCATTCCCGACTGCGCGCGCCGGTCCCAGCCGTTCCCGCATTTTTCTACCGACGTGCGCAAGAGCCAGGCACGGCGCATGTGTCTGAGACGGTGCACTCAAGAGTCGACCGATCATGCTATCTCCTGGCGAGTCGCCACTGACCTTCAGGCTTTCTGAATTCGACCCTCTCATACCCGGCATCCGCTTAATGTACTGGTCTCGATATGCTGGGCATCGTTGACTTGGGCAACAGCCGAGCAAACCTCGCTCGATTCAACGCCAAGACCCGGTGGCAGAAGTGACGAGACGCGCACGTTCTACATCCCGTTCCGGCGCGGGGACACTTACTCTCTCGTGTGGCGCGCCCTGGGATACTGGACTACAGTACTGCGACGTTCGAGTCTACTACGCACAGAACAAACCTCAAGCTCCAGGCCTTCCATACACTGACCTGGACATGCGATCTCTCGATGGCCCATGAAACTCAACAAGTATCTCGTTGTCTTCGCGACTGGACGACTTTGCAGGACCAGAACGTACCCCACACTCGGGACGGTCGCCCCTGATCGACTTCCGCCCTAATCTGACAATGCTCGAGCCTTGATCTACCGTCGATCCCATATCTGATAACGACACTATGCCGGAGCGCCCAAGCAACCGCACCGGACGTGGACGGCATATAAAGCCTGCGCTTTGCTTTTTCGAACGCAGTCGGGCTACGTCTCCTACCCGCCTCTTCGTTCCTCTGCTCGGCTCTTCGGACATCAAGCGCTCGGCATGTCCTTCCCTGAGTCGAAAGAGGCGCCCGGTCGGCCAGATCTGGTCGACGAGAAGAGTTCAGCGGAAGACGTCGCTGTGCCTGTTGTCGGGTACGGCGACAGCGAAACCCTCGATGCTTCCCATGATGTCTTCATCACAGGTCACCCATGGCGAATCAAAGGCCCAGCGCTTGCTTGTGTACTGCTTATGACTCTCGGCTCGAACTTCGCATCATCCTCTATCTCTCCTCTCAAGTCTACGCTCAAGAAGCAGCTCGGAATCAACAACGCGCAGTACGCTGTTCTCGACACGGCCGATTCCCTCATCAACACCATTCTCCCTATCATCTCCGGCATTGCTATCGATTATTATGGCCCTCTGGCGGGCTCGATGTACTCTTCTATCGTCATCGTCATTGGCGCCATTTTGTGCGGCGTCGCAGCTTCTATCTCGAGCTATCCTCTGCTCGTCGTCGGTACGTCTCGAACATCTTCACGCTCGGTATCACACCCAACTAACATACTTGCATGATAGGTCAGATCATACAAGGCTTTGGCTCGACGACAATCGAAACGGTTCAAAGCAAGATGTACGCGTTCTATGCAGTCGGAGGCGGGCTGATGGGCTTCATCTATGGTCTTGACATCGGAATTGGACGCGTGTATAACCTGATGGGAAAGTTGACGGCCGTGCCTATCATGCAAAACCTGGGGTCCTGGTCATGGACGTTCTGGGTAAGCACGCTCCTCTACCTGGCTGCTCCCGATCTCTGACTCACTTCATGCAGATTGGTGCCATCATGTGCGCCGTGTCTTTCGGTATCAACACGGCGTTCTTCTTCTACGAGCGCACATTCCCGCAAGAGTCTCGAGTGCCCACTGGTCGCCAGGCTGCGAAGCGTGCGAGCGCTGGAAGGACGGTCAGCTTCCGCGAGCGCTTTGATACGGAGAGGCGTTACATCGCGAAGGCAGTTCTTGCGCTGCCAGCTGCGTACTGGATCTTCGTGCTTTCGCAGCTCCTGCAATGTACGTCGTATTGCTCTTCTGATGGATAATGGATGCTCTTCTCACGCGTTCTTAGCCGGCGCGGTTGGTACCTACTCGTCAAACACGGCTGATGTGATCTCCGTTACGCGCAACGCTACGACCGAAGCCGCCGGCTACACTTCGTCCCTCGCGCAAGTCATCCCCATCGTCCTTACTCCTGTACTCGGCGCCTTCTTCGACCGTTTCGGTCTCCGAATGCACTGGGTTACGTTTACGGCCGCATTATGGGTCATCGTCTTCGCCCTGCTCGCCTATACCGAAGTCAACGCGTTATGTCCGGTATGTCGAGCTCACGAGCATTCAGCTGGTCCTCGTTGACACAGACCTGTGCAGGTGCTCCTGGGCAGCTTCGCTCTCGCCTTCAATGCTCTTCCCTGGGCCGCCATCATGCCCCTCATCGTCGCCGACCAAGCGAACCTCGGAACGGCGTTCGGCATCTACAAAGCCCTGAACAACTGTGGCTCCGTCATCATGGACGTAAGCGCCGGTGCAATCCAAGACCGCACACCGACCGGTATCCACCAATACGACCGCGTGTTCGCCTTCATCATCGCGATTAAGTCCGCGGACATCATCTATGGCGCCCTGTACAACCAATTTGACCGCCAGTTCTTGGGCGGCGTGCTCATCTCGAGCGACAAAAAGCTGCGCAAGATGGCTGAGGAGGACGCTGTCGCCGAGCAGCGCTCGAAGGGCTGGCTTGCGCCTAAGCCGATCGTCACGGCTATCTCACTGGCCACTGTACTCGCGGCCATCATCGTCGCATGGGTCCTATACTTGTACTATTCCGTGTAATTTGCATTCGTCATGTTTTCGTCACTTCATTGGGCTAAGGTAGTGCATCTCTGTTATACTGTACACATCACATACACACATAGAAGTTCTTGTGACAAGTGGGGTCGAGCAGTCAAGGTAGTCGTGCCTCCGAGTTTAGCGAACGGAAGTGCAGGACGTCAAAACCTTGGCCATATACCTCACCCCAATCGAAACTGCTGCTATGGTTCTCCTTGCCAAAAGCCGCTAGCAGAGCATCTGCCTCTGGTCCACCGCGTACAACCGGCCGTGCATCTTCACGCCCCTTCCCTCGCGCCCCCTCTCCCCAGATCAGTTTGTGGTCCGCGGACATGAAAGTGTGTATGCTCCGGAATGTCAAGCTGATGCGCTCGCCGTCCTCTGCAAGCTCTGTGGATGATTTGAGACTCAAGGGGCGCTTGTCTGCATTGACCGCATGCAGCCACCGACGATTCGTCTCGAGTCCGAAAGCGAGCAACGAGTTGTGCGGTAGAGGTATTCGCTGCTTTTGACGTTCCGCGCCGTCTTCAAGGGCGTCCTTCTTCGTGCGCAGTGTCATGACTCGTTCAGCGCCAAGGCTCACGTTGACGATGTACGTGTTGGGAGCGATGTCGACGGTCTTGTCCGAATGCTCTGAGATGTAATCGGTGCCTCCGCGGTAGAGTTGGATGAGAACGTGGTTGACCGGATGCTGGACCGCGCGTTCAACATGTTCTCGGATGAGTTGCACAGTTGGAGAGAAGGGTAATAAGGCAGGAGACTCGTCGGAGGGATGGCGATAGACAGGATAACTAAAGGAAACAGTTATATCAGCAATATACAGAGAAGTGAGGCGGTTCTGGAGCTCACCTGCCATCTTCCGCTACGTTTCCTTGTACTGCAACAAGTCTAGGGACCTCCCCGCCTGGAAGTGACATCAGTGAACGAGCAGTTTGGAGTAGACATTGAACATACCGCGATGGTGCATGACGCACCACTCGACTTCCTGCTTCACCTTCGCGAAGATGTCAACGCTCACGCTGTCGAGCAGTAGATTTGCGTGTAGGAAGGTATCGCCGGAGCCGAACGATGTCGCAGGAGACGTATTCATAGTGAGGATGAACGCGAACTTGTCATCTGGAATGGCAGTGTGGTGACTCGATGGAATAGCCCGGAACCTCGCCACACTGGTTAGGACGTCGAGTTAAGTTCGCATGCAGATATAGGCGGGACTGTATTCGGATCTTTATGACCTATATCGTGAAGCGCCATGGAGGTTCACTTGTGAGCGCCGGATGACAGTGCGCCGGCATCGGCTTTACGGGCCGACGTGCTTGACGACACGCGACAACTGTATGGACGCGTTATAGGGGCCTTTCTCACACGTATACGCTGCCGCGGCGTCTTGCAAGCTTGCACTTAGCAAGACGTCGCACCCGAGCACGCATCAAATACAGTAACGTGAACTGGCAATAGCTCGTAGAAGTACCACATGACAGAGAATGTATAAGAGAGTTGATGACAACTGAGACTCAGGGAAGGGAGGGGAGGAGAGCGGCATATGGCGTTCATGGGATGGAAACCAAGCTCGGGCCTGTAGAATCTGACAGCAGAGTCGTTTCAGCAACGCAGTTCCAAAGTAGAGGCTTGATGTACGCGTACTCTCTTCGAACACCCAAAGCTGCCTCTTCCTCTCCTCCGACTTCTCGTCCTCGCTCCGATTCGCAAGCGTGAGGTTATTCCCCGGCGAGAACTGCCCGTCATCTTGAAGCTCGACGACAAGCGACTCTTCAGCAGGCCACTGCAACCTGAAATAGCACATATGAGATCTCAGAATGATGACAACACTGGGTGCACACATACTCGAAGAGGTCATCTTTCACATGGTTCACGATCCAAGGGATGCGGGCTGAGGTATCGTCGCTCGTAGTAAGTTCCGCGCCCGGCTCCGCATGGCCGGCTATGACAAGCGCTTTGCCATCGCCAGCATGCTTGATAGAGTATCCCTTCTTCGCGTCTCCCTCAAAGACCCACTGCGTCAAGGGCCATACGTTAGGGCTCAAGAATCACTTAAGGAGATGGTTGGGCATACCTTCTGCGTGCGATCCCCGTGAGCAGTATAGCCGACCACAGCCTCGTGATCAGCCGACGGCTCCTGATCTTCCGGAAGATCGACGGCCTTGTAGTTCAGAGAGTTGACGATGAGGTACGTTTCTCCGGAGGCAATGTTGGTGATTGCCATGTTGTGAGCTGATGGGTGGTTGTCGTTCTTGCATCTGGCGAGGAGCGAGTTATATGCTCGCGCGCATCAGAGCATGATACTGACTGGGCTCCATCGTGCAAGCCTGTGCGGCTCATCGAATGGAGGAGTAGGCGACAGAGGGCAAGGGGCATGCCGGATTGGACTAGTCGCAGCGCGAGCGAGGAAGGTGCGCAGTCGTGACGCTGCCAGACAAGCTGTGTCTTGTCGATAGTGCGTGTATGTCTGAGGCAACTTGAGGGCACAGGCGTACAACAAGAGAGCGGCCGGCAGGTCAAACAAAAGGGCGACTGGATAAGGCGACGTGCGCGTGCCGTGAAGCCGACGCCAGTCAATAGGAAAACGGTCATCTGAACGCTGGGCGGAGAGCCAATGTATCTCATGCGAACATGCCTTGCTGGACAGAGAAAGTTCACAGCCATGCATAGATGATCAGTCAGTCCTAGAACAGCATATTTATTATGTGTGCACGAGCAGTCCGACGTCGGCTACAAGATCATTCGCACTCACTTAGTGGATGAGTGTACTTGGCGAAGGGACTCTTAGATCTCCGGAGAGTGAGATAGACCGCAGTATGAGCCATAGGCTAGAGTGTACCGTGACAAGCTTCCATGCTTCCCAGACGAACAATTGCGATCAAAGCCCGATGGTGCTCGGTGAGAGTCGAACGTCGAAAGTTGAACAGGAGTCGCAGGGCGCACGGTTGTGGAGAATAACTTGACAGGACTATGCTCGCGCTAGACCGATCTCTTGAGGATCGTGACCACGTATACAGTATGTAAGTTACATTCCCAGAACAAATGTCGCCCTTGATCTGGGCAGGCTAGACAGGTCATGGTAGGTCGACAGAATGAGCGCTCCGGGCCGTGATGACAGCCAGCGAGCGTGAGACTCGCGCTCGGCCAATGCCGTCTGCATGCACGGGGCCGCAGCGCGTGGCGTAGGCGCTTGTACCTGACACTCATGTACACGCTGTAGTAACAGTATAGTGCGAGTGGTCTCATTCCATCTTGACATAGAATCTGCTTTTTGTTCCATGTCGCTGAGTCTCCGACACTGAGGGGCGGGATCATGACTGGCGGAAAATTGGCGTGACTGCTGGTCTCGTGGATGACCGCTACGACCACGTCGGGCGGCACACTCTACCCATGGGCTAGAAGGCCCTCATAAGTACTGGCACCCATCCTTACGTCTTCATGCCATTACCTACCCACAACGGGACAATTGCCCCCAACCAGAACAAGACGAGGACGTTCTCGGATTTGAGACGGACTCGGGAATCTTCTCCGTGCCTCGGGCTATACGAACGTGATGCGACTGAGCTCACATTCACATACCGCGATTCCCACCGCTACTCGGAGTCATCAAAGTCGCGAAGATGTCTTTGATACACTGCGAGCGTAATGTGGCGCGCTGAGCTTCCATTCGACTTGTCAGGCTGCGGCTCTGCGAGTATGATGTCCGTCGGGACAGTTCGGTGTGTACGCAAAATTCAATCAGGACGCGATTGTTTGTATTGAGAAGTGGGGTGCCAATTGAAGTACAAGCGGGACATGGCAAAGCTGTACGTACGCTCTATTGCATCTCGACGTTGAGCTAACAGCGCCCTAGCATTGACCCCAGCATTCGTCCCTCAAGCTCCGGTCCCCTACACCAAGTACAAGCTTGCAAGCCGGAGCAGCCGCAACATACGTTGTATCGACTGACCTCACTCAGGCAGGTCCCTTCTGGCAGAGCCCAAGTTCTGAGTCGAATACCAGAACTCTGGCGCAACGGTTCTGACTCTTCCACGACATCCATCATGGTTAGACTCACGCACGACAGCGAACATATCTTTGCCATGGAACGACCTTGCACCAACTTTGCACCGGTGCACGCACGTCTTGTCTCCGATTTCATTAATTAGCCTTCTAGCATCTGTCACGATCATACCCGAACTTTGGCGCTGGCAATTAAGTGCACATCTGACTTTTCGTGCAGCAAGTCGAGCTCAGGCTCGTTCAGCAGCTCCCAGTCGAAAGGTGAACTTGTGTCCATGTCGACTTCCCTGCTCCTCACGCACTATAAGAGCGAGCCTAACGCGCCGTCTCTCAGCAGCTCTCGCAGCATCCAGAACATCCCCACAAGCATCTCTTCTCTCTCCTCACCACTTCTCATCCTACTATCAAACATGGGTGCCAGCGCTTCAGCCCTCGTCAACCCCACCGCCCCCGAGGCCGTCAGCGACCCCAAGCTCCGCGAGCAGCTCGACGTGCTCCTCAAGCTCACCGATGCGCGCCTCGATGCGTACCAGAAGGAGCTCGAGATGATGTTCGTCGACGGCGACAGTCAGTCTTCTCCCTCATCTCATCTATCACTCCCTCTCCCTGCGCTGCGTACTCATTGTCGTTCGTTGCTAAACAGGCGCGGCGAAGCGCACCGTCCCCGGCAAGCGCGCTCTGCGCTTCAGCCGCTACGTCGGTGTCGATGTCGGGAACAAGTCGCGCTACACCGCGGTCGAAGGCAGCGAGGAAGTCCGTCACCCTGTCGTACGTCGCACTCTCTTCCTCTTCACTCGGCACCGCAAAGCTATGCTAACGTACCATGCAGTTCCTCGGAGTCGAAGACGTTGTCTGCAGGTTCTTCGGCATTCCCGTGGCCGACCTCGGAAAGGCCGAAGACAAGCGTGCTCTCGCTATTCGCGGTTTCGCTGTGAGTTGACTCATCGCCTATCTGACCACGGCCAAATGCTGACTGGCGGTATGTAGTCGGTTGTGAGCAATGGTCTGCAGGCCATCCTCGAGAACACGTCCTCCGGCGAGAACACGGAGAAGAAGTTCTTCGTCTGTATCCACCAGTACGTCTTTCCCTCTACATACCTGCATCCTCGATCCTCTACTCACGCACGCGTCGTATAGCAACGCGGTCATTCGCATCGACGTGATGACCTACCGCTACAACTTCACCAAGTTCGACTCGCAGACCGGCGCGCAGACCAGCACCGCCCAGACTCCCGGCTCCACGAGCGCCGCGGGCGCCGCGAGCGTGACGATGGTCGGCAGCTACGAGAACATCTTCGGATACGTCTACTGTGCGCCGCTCCCACATCACATACGCTATCGAGTTGAAGCTGACGAGAGCCCAGGCATATCCGTCGTGGACCACCGCGAGGTCACGGACGACGAGATCGTGTTCCTCGCGAGCGAGTTCGCCGGCGACAGGCTCGACGAGTTCGGCGTGCGTGCTTTGCGGGTTTACTTTGACTTGGATATGCGCGCTGATGTATGTTGTATAGGCCTACCTCGACCAGCTCATCGCCGTCTGGGGCAAGCTTCGTATCACCGGCCCCTTCCAGCCCTGAGGCTGAGCTTGGACGATCATGTTCAAGAGCCGCGTTTCACGCCTGGCCGATCTCAACAAGACACTGGCACTTTCCATTTCTCCGTTTCCCCTCTTTGCCATACCTCAATAGCGGGATTGGATTCAAGTTCTCGAATATAAACCCCAATATAAACCAATTATGTAGACAGCGTTCTTCTCGATGTTGCTTTCTGTACTGAGATTATCTTCACAATGTTGAGTTGACCACGAGGTTGGGGGATCACCGCTACCTTTAGGTTTGGGTCAAGAGTCAAGACTGCTTGAACGGCTCCCTCTCCTGACCCTTGTGCTTGGACTATGCGGCACAGCCCGATACATACCTTGGCCCCACCCAACCGCTTTACTAAGTTTACGGACATGTGATGCCCGGGCCCGCTCGTAAGTACCGCGCACTCGACGCCCGCCGCTCGCACCGGGCGGAGTCTCATGCTCGGAGTGGCCGCCTTCAGCCGGACGAGCAAGGGCGGAAGTGGTTCAAGCGTTGCTAGAGAAGAACAATGACCGACCCGTGGTCAGAGGTCGGCAAGTGTACGAAGAAGAGTATAGTGGAGATAGAGAGGAACACATAGTCGTCACATTAGACAGAGACAGTAAGACCCATATCTAAAGGTATCGGGAATTGCATGTGTACATCTTTACCCACGGCCAGGAAACGATGGTGGACGGCCGATGCGGGGTATGGGCTCAAGTATGCAATTGCATTGGGCGGCACATCAGACGCCTGCGACGTGCGAGCTTCGGTTCAACCGGTCCTGCCTTGCACCTTGGACTCGACTGAGACGGGGCCGCGCGACCTCGTGTGCTCCTCGGCAGGTTGCAGGACGAAGAAAGCGGGGGTGTCGCTTGTCGGCATCGACAGACTTATAGATGTTGATATTGTTGATACAGCATCATGGGCGAGCAAGTACATTACACAACGAAGCACTTCGGAGAGTCTTTCTCAGAACGTCCACACGTCCAACACCTCTCCGTCCGCGACCTGCACACACATCCAATCAGCCTCTCATCACGACACAAAACGCGTATAAGCACGTACCGACCGCACACCAACAAGCCTCTGCTCATCCAGCATGAAGCCCGTATACACCCCGCCCCGTCCATCCTTCGGCACTTCCGGCACCGGAACGCACACGCACCCATACGGCAACGACGAGAACAGCTCCTGCTCGCCATCCTCCTGCAGCGGCGGCGGACGCGGGATATCGATGAGCGGCTGGTGACTCTGGTTCATGGCCGCGACCTCGTCGATGACGAGGTTCTCTGCCCACTCCGTTCCGTCGTCCTCCCCGCCGTCGTTCTCTCCATCTCCCGTACGTCCAGCCTCAGAACCACGGCTTTGACTTCGCCCTCGATTCCTCCCGACATGTAAGATGCCCTCCACAAGCACGCCCCTCTCCCCACTCTCAAACACGCTGACGCTTCCCCTCGCAAACATCCTGGCGTCCCTCCACTTATCCCTCTCGCCATCCTTGACCGGCACATCGAAGTCGAACAGATGCAACCCCGCCGTCCCCCGCGCCAACATGCGTGCCCCATGGACATACCGCTGCCACTCGAACGCCTGCGCCATCGGCACGACCCGCGCCTCCTTCGTAATCCACTTATCCCACCCCACCATCCTACCCTTCTCGTCCTCCCCACTAGCTCTCTCGCCCACCAGCGCCGGCAACCGCGGAAATATACTCGGCCTCCACAGCGCGGCCTGTATAATGCCCACCAACGCGGACCCGGGGACGACGAGCATAAGCTCGTGCCACATCCCCTCTATATCCTCGACCGTCAGACAGAACGTGTGTACGCGCCGCGCGTTGGCGGGGTGGTACGCGCTGTGCGGCGGCGCGCGGGCGAGCCAGGGGCCGGTGAGGGTGTTGAGGCCCAGAAAGCGCGCGCCGACGGCTGGGGGAGGCAGGCGGAGGGTCGATGTTACGTCGAGCGTTTTGGATTTTGAGTTTGATGGAGAGGTGGTGGAGAAGGAGAAGAGGCGGATGGCGTCGGTGTGGGCGTATGTGAGGAGGAAGGCGCGCGGGGAGACGAAGGAGAAGTCGTGTGGCGGGACGTCGTGGTGCGGGGGCTGCATGTTCTAGTCACGTGTCACTCAATCAATATTCATACTCAATCAAGCATAAGTGCGCGGTATAGACTCACGACAAGCTCCTCGCCCGTCCTCCAGTTGAAGATGATAACCCGCGGCCCCAGCTCTCTCGCATAAAGCGCAACAACATCTTCCGCAATATCGACCATACACTCCCTAACAAACCGCCCCGCGCTCCCCTCCAACACGCCCACGCTCGCCAGCGGATGCGCGGCCCCTGGCTCGCTCAGCCTGCGCATGTGCAGCCGTACCCTGCCGTCCTGCCTCGGCATTTCCAAAAACGCGATCAGATCCTGGCTGGGATCCATCGCGAAGTCCTTGATCTGCACGCCCAGATCGTACGTCTCAATCCCCGCCTCTCGTCTCGGATTATTCGAAGGAAGCGTGACAAGCGTTATACTGCGCCTCTCCCCCGGCTCTAAGGAGTCAGACTCCGTATCGGCCGGCCCGGCGCATTTGCCGTAGTACCCGCCGACGAGGTCGTACGCCTGGCAGTTCCCGGGCAGGTGGATGCTGGCCGCGGGCTCGTTCAGTGTGAGCGTGCGCCAGGATTTGCGCCGGGTTTGCAGGAGCGATAAGCGCTCGGAGGTGGAGAGGGGGAGGGAGGCGGGCCCGTCGTATGTGCCGGTGGCGGATAGGGCGAGGGAGTATTGGAGGGCGGATGAGGAGGATACGAGGGCGTGGAGGTATTTGCATGTCTGAAACGGAGCAGGTTTAGAATAATGTGTAATTTGATAGTGGATTGATGTACCTGTGAGCACGCGAGCATATCGCGAGAATTGAGCAAAGCCAGTATTTCGGTGCATATTTCCAGAGGCAGCGCGAATAGAGGACTGTGAGAAGTCGACGAGGGTGTATTTGAATAGTGGGTGCCAGGTCTCCGTTCGATGGGTGGAGAGCCTATGGCCCTCTTCGGGTTTGTCATCGCATGCAGTGGATTGTGGGACCTAGGTGAGGGAGGTATTGATAGCGATGTTGTGACACGTCCAGGTATCGGCGATGTCAAGCTGATGACGGTTTGGGATCAACTCGTTCGAACCCGATGTGGCACCAGCGGCTATCACCGAACGAGCACTGCTCAAATGATGTCTGAACACGACCACCATCTTGCAGGCGGCTTTGCTGCAGCTCTGTGACGGTTTAAGTTGCACACGCTGAACATGGAAGGCTCGAGCCAGGATCAACACTCAAACTCTCCCAGTATTCTACTTGCGCTTCCTCTGGAGATTTGTATTGAAATACTCGCTTCGCTCGACGCGCGCTCTGTTCTCTCCTGCTCTGAGGTACGTCGCACACATTTCAACGCCTTTCGTCACCTCAAACTCATCATCTTCTCGCTTAGACATGCAAGCAACTGAACGCCCTCGTGTCTGCATCTGTGCCCCTGCAGTATAAACTCGCCCTCGCCGCAACCGGTATGATTGACGGACCGCCCTCTTTCCCTCTCACTGCATCAGAACGCCTCTCCGTCCTCGACTCTCGCCGCGGACGATGGCGCGATCCAATTATAGGTCCACCCGACGCCTCCATTCGCCTGCCGCGGCAGGGAACAGGCTACGAATTCGCTGGCGGATATCTTGGCCGATGCTTCCCGCACAACCAAAGTGAAATCTCAGCCGATGATGCCCAACAATTCAAGCTCGTGACGCTGCCTTCGCGTACTCCCTACAGAGAGGCGAATGTGGAGACCTATGATCTCGGGCACATCGCGATCGAGTATCACACGTTTGACCCATCGCAAGATCTACTCGTGTTACTCGAAAGAGTTCGCGAGGACGGGAACATCAAAGTCCATTTACGAAGGCTTAGCATACCCGGAACGGCACATCCCGATGCTACCTCCGCATTGCTCTCGAGCCATGCAGACAACACTGAGTTTGTCATGGACTACGAACTGCATATCGCTGACGACGTCGTCGCGTTGTTCTGGCGTGGCCCCGCATCAGGAGTTATTGTCTTCAACTGGCGCACAGGAGAAGAACTAGTTGTTCGTATTATCTTTCGCCAGTGCTCTATCTGTGCTGACAGTCCCATCTGGTGCAGAATATGAATCCAAAATACACTCGGCACCCCCAAGACTTCGCTTTCCTCTCCCCACGCGCCTTTCTCATAACCTACAGCATCGACGACATCGTAATCCGGCTCTTCTCCTTCACCTCTCCCTCTGAGTCCAACTCCAAAGATCTCCCTATCACAGCAACAATTCGCCTTCCGCCTCCCGTGTCCGGCGCCTTCCTCATATTCCTGCACGTCAGCACAAGCCCCTGGCTCTCCCACGCCCCACAAACAGCCCACTATCCCTCCAACGACCGCCGCATCTTCACATTCTCCCTCGCCATCGAAGACTCTCAACAAGACCGCCACGAGCTGTGCATAACAGTCCTCTCCCGCACCCTAAACGCCATCCTCAACGTCGCGCAATCCCGCCGCGCATCGGGCGAACCACCCGAGCGCCTGGTATGGGATTGGACGTCTTGGCTCCCGCCCTGCGCACGCGTCCTAGCTCTTCCCCGATCATTCGGGTGGAGCCGACACGTCCACGGCGCACGCATGCTCGCACGGAACGAGCGTGGCCTCATGATCCTCGACTTCGACGTCCCGTTCAAAGACCGTTCGGATGAACACTGGTCTTCTGAACATATGAGCTCGCCCGGAGACGAAGGGGAGAAATTCAGATACTTTGATGGAGAGCCTGGGGTGCTCAACATACGGGGGTTGTTGGACGTTAGCGCTATGAGCGAGGTCTATGGGAATGTTTGGAAGGAGGGTGAGGAGGATGGGGACACGATGGACTCGATGCTTATGTCGGCGTTGCCGTATGGATGCGTGTGTGTTCCTGCACCGGAGCCGGGTGTAGGGGAGTATTCGAGTTTTATGTTGGATGAAGAGAGGATCGTTGGTGTGAGGAAGGTACGTGATTGTCTCTTGTCTTGTTCATCGCCACTTCGCGGACTAAAGATGTTTCTTGCATTTTAGGTTCTCGATGGGGAGGTTCTAGACGTATGGGCATTCTAAAGCGTCCGGTTTACGTTGTTTACGGTGATAAGATCACAATCGCAGTCTGGCATACATTACAATGTGTGTATCAATCTGGTTTACCCTTCCGGTCCCCGAGTTTCACAAGAACACCTCCGTTCCTTCCACGTCGTACCGCACATCACAAGCGCAGCGCCCCACGTCCCCAGTATCAACGCCGCAGTCGGCCAGAAAGCATACGCGATCACGAACATGGCAAGGCAAAACGCCGCCGTCGACACGCAAAGCGCCCAATATGATATCCGCACCCGAAGCGCGAAGAACGCGTATGTATCATAACGCTCAGTGTAGGCCTTCCTGTATATAGACGACGATATATCAGTCATAATCACAAGCCGGAACTTGGAGACGCACCGCGAACTCAGACGGGCTCGTACTGCCCTCTGGCATATAGAAGATCGTGAAGAATATGGCCGTTCCGAAGCTCAGCAGGGACGCGTCAGAGGACAGCATTAAGCATGCCGACGTCAATTCGGCAGCGTCGTCTGTTGCGGTGCCCCGGCCGGGCAGTCGCGTTACTACTAGTGCAGCGGCTCTTCGAGAAGATCGGCATGAGTTTCAAGTCATGATCACTTGTTACTGAAGACGGAGTAGCTCACATGGCCAGTATCGGCGACTATACGCCGTCACGGATTCCGAGGACCAGTCAGCTCGAAACCGATAGGCATGCAAAAGAGGTACAACTTACGACCCTGCCGACGAACTTCCACTCCGACGCCAGCGCTGCTTGTATCTCCTCGAAGTTCCCACAGCATTGGGCCCTGCGGAATTGCTCGCTGCGTGTGACTAGATCGCATAGTCTCTGATACAATGGGGCACGGTTGGGCATGATAGCGTGCTGGAGTAATGAGATCCAAGCGTCGAGGAGGTCTCTGAGGGCGCTTGTGGTTGCAGTGAATAACAGTGATGCGAGTTCCAGCTATGGCGGCAACTCACGACATCATGCAGGTAGCGCTCTGCAGACGAGTGGAAACGGGGATGGTCAACTTTGGCGAGTCCAATGGCACTCTTATATGGTAGCCCGTCGAAGACGAGGACGGTCGTACTCGCCCTGATGGATTGGGCTGTGGCGTTCCTAGCGTATAGCACAGGCGCGCTTCTACAGAAGCGCGCAAAAGACGAGGGAATAGGCCTCAACACTAAGGTTGCGGTGTAAGGCTCTCAGACCTCGTGGGCTATCCTTCGATGCGAAGCCGAATATCTTCCTTGTTCAAACGTTCCCACGAGCAACTTGTATGCGAAACTCGAGATCGTCCCCTCGTCAGCGAACCTCGATTCGCCTGCAGGATACGCCCAGAAGAATGACGGGATGGCTCGATGAATCAGTCGCCGGTAGCGCAGCTTTTGCCAATAGGGCGCGGTGAATGATGCGCCGGCTATTCTCAACGCGCGCGGGGTTAATTAACCGTAGGGTTAGGGTTGATTAATCAACCTATTTGACTACTGACCCGAGTGCGAGCCCTACGCAGGCCCTCTGCGCCCCCGCTTGAAAGGTTCGTGACCTGCCGGTCCTTCTAAAAGCTATCTATCTGCTTTGTGGAAGGCAATGACCGGAGGTAACAGTCAGAAGGGCGTCGTCGCTGCCAGGACCGGGTGGGAACGTGCCGGGATCCCGGGAGGTCGCGCGCCGTGCGCATTCTCGTCGCGGTCAATGGTCGCGTCTCGTCTAGATTTGGGTGTCCTGAGCATGACGGGATTCTCGACGCAGACGTATCGCAGCGAAAGGGCTGTGCCACTACTGACGCGTTGAGGGAGGAAGACGGCGCGCGCTCGTAACCCAGGTTTGGGGTTGTGATCGCTTGTTGGTCTCCGCGTGCGGCTTACACATGGTTCGCTCTTCGATTGTACAGTCCATTCTGACAAGCACGGCTGCATAGAAGTCAGATAGATTGGAGGGTACTCCTAACGCCCTAGTAGCTTTTGTGCGGATGTTCGTTATTATTAGGATTCATAACCTATCTGCCCTTTGCCATCCCGGTCGAGCGCCGCTCCTTCTGAAGGCCCAGCAGTAGCACCGACAGTCTTCGAAGCGACGTTCCACTCATCGAGCGTCATCTCGCCCTTCAGATCCTCGTAGAATGCCGGCGTCATTCCAGCCGTCTCGCGCGCGGGCGCATTGAACGGCCCTTTGATCTACACCCTCAATCAGCATCATACTCAACACTCAACATGGCCCAAGCAACGCACGTGGCCCATAAACCCCTTCCGAACCTCCTCCCTAAACGTCTCCACCGGATCCAACCCCTCCCTCTCACAACACCACACGAACCACCGATGGCCCGTCGTAACATGCGTGACCTCGTCCGCATGTATAACCTCGAGCGCCTGCACACTCTCCCTATCCCCGCTCCTCCTAAACTTTTCAATCGTACCGGGGTTCACATCCAGCCCCCTCGCCTCATGCACGAGATGTATGATCGCAAGCCGCGAGCGGAGCGACGGGAACGTCGCGCGCGCCGAGTCCCATAGCCCCGCGTGCACCGGTAGCGAGCCGTACGGCGTATCCGGCGCCAGCGCGGCGAGCCTCGAGCAGAGTAAACTGAAATGCTTGGACTCGTCCAGCGCCATCCGCGTAAAATCCGTGAAAAACGCTGCGGGCAGATCTTTGTGTAGCGGCCCGAACCGCGCGATAATGTCCCACGCGAGGTCCACGGCCCACTGCTCGATATTCGCGAGCGCGTGCAGCATGCCGACTCTGTTCCGCCGTCGCGCCGTCGCGGCGGGGTCGACGACGTTCGCGAGGTACTGCTCGTGGCGCGGGGGCACGTCGGGCGGGCGGCGGGGATTAGGCGATTTGTGGCCGATGGAGAGGAGCTGGGCGGTGCGGAAGAGGTGCACGGCGTGCCGCGTGCGGGCGACTTTGAGCGAGGGGTCGGGCGTGTTGAGGATCAGGATGGCCCAGTCTATCAGTGTCTTGGGCGCGTTGGCCGACGGGGTAACGGGTTCTTCCGCAACGGATTTCGGTGCGCCGGATAATGAGAGGCCGTCAAGTGCCGATGCGAGCTTCGCCGTCGCGGGCGGTGGATCGGCGAACGCCTCGGATACGGGCCGTAGCTCGACGACGGTCCAGTCCCTTCCCTCACGTGGGGCTTCGACCCAGACTTCCTCGTCGTCGCCGCGCAGGTTTACTTCGTATGTGCACGCGCGGAGGCCGGACATGCTTTCGCCCGTGGAGAGGTCGAAGTCGTAGCGGTGCCAGGGGCAGACTGCTACGGGTCCGCCGTCGTATTCTTCGATGTCTGCGTGCGACATGTCGGCGCCGAGGTGCGGGCAGGCGGATTCCATCGCGTAGAGCTGTCTGCGTTGTCCCTTTGCCTCGAGTTCGGTATTTGACGGATGGGCGAGGAGAGGCGCGGCGTCGCGTTCGAGACCTGGTCCATCGGAGAGGCGGAAGAGTATGAGGGAGTGGTACACTCCTTCTCTTGAGCGCAGGTTCAGGTGAAAGCGCGAATGTGTCTGTAGTGCGCTGTACGGCGCGACGCTACCTAGGCCGTTTTAGTACATTATATAATTGCCATTTCAAGTACAGGACAACGCACCGGATGAAGTCTTTGGACATCGTATGTGCGAGACGAACTAGTCTGGTAGGTACAGGCAGTGGGTGGTAAGAAGTGAGGCGCAGAGAGAAGCGCCACATCGACGCAGGAAGAAAGCCAAGAGCGTGTCTTGCGGACAGCTGTAGTTCAAGTGTGGGCGCCTGTGGCTGAATTATTATGGGCGCCTGTGGGTTCAACTGGCACATGCTCGGTCCAGTCGGTCCGGCGGGGCAACTCAGGGCAACTCGTCTTCGACACGAACCACCATGAGCCCCGCGCCGTCACGACTACTCCCCGTGGGGCACACCTTGCACTCAATGTATATATACTTGGGGAGCTGTCTACATCTATAGCCGATGGAGAAAGTCGCAAAGTACACAAGACCTCGGTCAACCTAGGCGCCCGGCGACATGACCGTCAATTCAAATACGGGGAGAACCTATAGGGAAGCTGCTTCCCGGCGCTCAGCGCAACCTTCGAAACCTTCATCTTGATTCTCGTGGCACATGTCACAAGGACACGGCCCCCTTGCACAGCCGTATAGAGGCGTGGTATTAGAACTGAAGACGCACGGAAAGGTGAGGACCCCCGACTTGCTTTCGATTGTCATCGTCTGCTCGATAGGACATCCGCACGATGTGGCAAGGCACCATACCGAGCTCCCACCCCGCACTCCGGCAGAAGCTTTATCCCACATCTCCGAGTAGAAGCCCATTCTATGACGAGAGGTCTTATCCGTGAGCCCCACAGTAGTCGTTCAATTTCCAAGACTGACGTTCAGATTGGTGTTATCAGTGTAGATAAAGTCGAGCCTGGATGCGGTGAGAAGCCTCTTCACGCAATAGACTCTTTGCCCAGCTCCTCCGCGTACGTAGAGTCCAGCAACCTTCACAATCTGCATGAACTCAATCTCACACGATCGAACAGGCCCCATGATGCAACCATCGACGGATGGGAGGCCCACACTCACCCTGAGGGCGAACGCTATTACACGCGTGGCGCTTCGCCGCGCGTCATCACCGAAGCTGATGTAACGGATACCGCTATCTCAAAAGCCGTCAATGCTTGGGTCCAAGGCATTCTGGACTTGTCCGCGAAGTTGGACCTCGTAATTGGGCACTCAATTGATCTCTTTGTGGAACCTTCTGCGACATCAGGCCTCTGCGGATATTATTTCGCCGATCACGATAGCCGCACAATCTTCTGGCTTGAAGGCGCTCCGACGAGTAAGCTAGGTCTCTCACAAGGATGCTCGGACCAAACATTAAGTACGTCGCAATGCAAACGCCTATAAATGTCATGCTGATATGATTTCCTTTAGTGCTTGCACTCGAAAAGAATTACTGGAAACACGTTGAATTATTTTGCATGCGCCCAGAAAACCTATCAGGAGGCCTGGAAGAGCTGATTACCAATCATCTCAACGGATATGGACGCGCTGACATGGTCACTACGCCGACGGAAACTTTTGATGTTACGCCGGAGGGTATACTTGTACGGCGTCTCTGTACGCGACAATTTCAGTCATGGACCGGTCTGCATCGCTGATAGGGCCCTAGCTGTACCGTGTGCGCAGTATGCGGCAAACAATTCAGAGTCCGAAGCCTTCGCTCAGAAGTCATCTTAGTACGTCAATCTTGGCTTCTCGCAGTCGAGTTTGGAACTGAAGCATCCCTTTCGCAGCCATGAAGAGCTTAAGCTGACGCTCACTTCACCCTCACAACAGACAGACGAAGGAGATATCTCTTCAATAACAGTGCCCTCCGTTTGCCCTGACTCAGCGTTGCCCGTCAAGGCCACGACCATGACCGACATAGGCAACTGGCTCGTCGAAACTTGCTTCCCGCAACTTCATCCCGCGCAACATGGCTCCCAACTTGAGACAGCTCGCGTCAAAGTCACGTCCGAGTGGCAATACATTCAAAGCACGGTAAGTCGTTGAGGCCACTCAGAATCTGATGCGACGCTGATGGGTACATCCCGCATAGCTACTGGTCGTTGCCGCGTGAGTTGGACCACAGATCCCCCTCGCATATCGAGCGAAGCTGACTAGAACTCTAGAGCCGACGCCGCCGGATATGCGGTCTCCACTGGCACCGACCTGAAGATAGACCAGCCCGCTTTTCGATGCCTGATCCTCTCCGCGATAACGGCAGCATTCGGTCTCTGTCTGCTCATCGGACTGAATGTGCGTTATCTCAATGCAGACTCGGGCAGCTTTGCAGTACGTACCATCCACTCTCCGCCCTTCTACTGTCCGTGGCTTACCATCATCGTCGCTGCTTGTCAGGTCCTGGCCCGCAATACATTTGACTCGAGTTACTCTTATTTTGCCATCACTTCACGACTTCCCTTACTGGCAATGTGGACTTCGTTGCTGACTTTCTCGCTGTTCCTGTTGATCGTAGCGTACGTTGCCTGGCCAAGTGCGGTTCTCGCACTCGGGATCATTGGCGCCATACTTGTCGGCTTACAATACATTGTTAAAGGCTGTCAGCTATTGATGTTCCGCTTTCGTGAGATGGGACATGCATTCTCTCGTACCGTTCGCCCGGCGCCCGTACTAGGACAAACTACCCCTATACCCCTCGGAATACCTGTATAATCAGGTCCACCACCCACTGTATCATTACTCGTTGCACCAGTACTCATTCTAGCATTCCCTACTAGACCTCCTCACAGACCCCTCTCTCCAGGCTCCGATCATCCCTGCATCTCTGAGCGCGCTATTGACTTCTCCCTCGGCCTTGATCTGTTATCCTTACTCTGAGATTTTAGTTGTTGTCTGCCAAGCATATTTCTCACGCTCTATATACTATCGCTGGTCATGGAATGAGTCCCGAGCAAAGAAGGAGAGTATCTCGATGCTGAGTGTCATAGTCTCCCCTAGGCAGACTCAGCGTCGCAGGACTAGAGTGTCAGGTAGATGTCATCAAGCGGCAAGCCTGGTCTCGCCAAGAGCGCGTCTTGTACCGAAGTGTGGGCGGCTGTGGGCTCAGATGGCACGTCCGGTCCAGTCGGTCCGGCAGCTTCCGGCAGGCGGAACGCGTCTTCGACAGCCAACCGCCACAGGTTCGACTCCGAGGCGGCCATGGCCACTCTATGTCATGCACACGCCCCATGTTCACTGGGTAGATGGTGGACATCATACAAAAGCGCAGAGAGAAGCGTAGCACTGTCTTACGCTGTGCTGCATGGGTGCTTGTGGGTTCGTGCTGGTTCGTGATTCAGAGTTCAGATTTTCAACTCGCTCATGCGGACGAACAACTTGCCTCTACCCATCATGAGCTCCGCTGTCTCGCTCAATAGGCGCATGCGATCCATGCCAAGTTGGCTTCCTACTCCACTACATGACTACATGTTATAGATTTGAGCCCAAGCAGCGCCCGCGCTCGTGAGCCCTGGGCGCCTGACAGCTGCTTGCAAAACGATAGGCCACCTAGGGGTCCTACACATAGAGAGCCGGGCGCCACTTCGCGTCGTCCGCTCACGTGGAAATGACACGAGGCTCCGAGACGGCTCATCCGGGCTTCAACAACCAAATGCCCAGCTTCCCTTCTGAGGCAGCGGTTTTGGCACGATATTCTTGTACTGAGGCCGAGGGTCGCAAATCGCGACAACCGGTTAATTCGTATGGTATGGAGGACTCGCAAATCAGCCTGAGCGAGAAACGCGGCCAACGCCGCGGGGGCACATGTGGAGCAAAGTGGTGCAAACGGGCTGTATGTGTAGGACCCTCCAGTGGCCTATCGTTTTGCAAGCAGCTGGAAACCGTTTGCGCTCAAGCGCTTTAGCCAGGCGTGGGACCTGAGTGATATATGAAGAGGCGCTGCACTCTGGCCGACCCGAGGTCGTCCGTACTAGGAAGCTGTGTTCATATACACAGGGACGCCTTTTCCCCATCGCAGGTTGCTCTTCAACCCCCAAGACCTCACAATGACTGACCGACCCTCACGCACACCATCTACCGAGTCTCATCTGCCATCCGGGGACGCCATCACACCCCCAGCCCAGCCCAGCGCCTCGGACACCTCGGAATCCTACATACCACCCGTCTTCCCCATTTCCGTCCCTCGGCCACACCCAAGACCAATGACAACGCCGGCGTCGATACCTCGGGATCAGGAAGAGCAAGAGCACGGCCAGCAGAGCAAAGCTACGATGCGCGCAAATATTCATTACGGCGAGGGCGGCTCCCGCGATCCAGGCCCGAGCTTCTCTCAGGGTAGCCGTTACAGTCTCGGTCACAGTCTTGGTCTCCCTGGACTCGAAAACAGCCCACCGGCAATCAGTCCATCCGCACGATCGTGCGTATATGTTATGCTTCTCGTGGTCGGGTTGTACTGAACCTCTCTCGCTCTTTAATCTTGAAAGGACTGTCGACACCAGTTCGACTTCCCACTTTCCGGCTGCGTCTGATGCTCATAGGTCTGCCCCCCCGGCCTGCGGCCATTGCAAGCGCAATGAGGAGAAATGTGTCTTGCCATCCGGATCAGATAATTGCAAGCGATGCACTGAGAAACAAATTCAGTGGGTTACTTGCCGTGGGGTTTCTAAACGTTGTAGAATATCCTAGATCGCAGACTCTTCCCGCCAGTCGGCTCTGACGGTCGTGGGACGAGTGACGAAGGCGTCTGGTTGGACGACACCGCCTGCGATCACGGCTTACATCACCATTCAAGGATATAGGATAGTCTACATCGTCTGCAACTCCCACGGCAAGTAACCCAGTGTATCTTCGAAGGCCAAAAGCAAGAGGTCGTTCCAAAGTGCGTCGTACATACCTGATCTACTCTGTCTAGCCATTCTCACGACGACATCAAAGGTTTTTACTTCGATTCACTCAAAGTTGGGATTCGCGGCTTGTGCGCATGCATGACGCACAAGCCATCGGAGAGAAAGTACGCAAGTTAATTCGCGATGACTCTACAAGCAACGCCCACAAGCAGGTCACGCCCTCGCTGGATTTACTACACATCCTGACATCTGCTGACACGGTGTAGGGTGCTCGACTCGACCGTCTACAGTCGTCCGGGACATGGCGTGGTATACAAGATGTCGACAAGCAAACCTATGTCTCTCGCCTCCTTGTGTCTCGTACGTTCATTCAGACGCATATACATGACGAGACTGACTGGTCGTGACAGTCACAGAAGCGCGCGGTTTGACGTTTCGTGCGGCGAATAAAGAAACCCAGTACTTCATCAGCTTTGAGCTGCACGTCCCCGGCTCAGCGTCCTCCGGGCCGAGAAACGCACCGGTAGTAATGGCGTCCACTTCGAGTCGCTCCGCCCAACTACCCCAGCAAGATAGGCACGGTATCGATGAATTGGCGGTGTGAGTCTTGCTTCTCTTCCAATATGACATGGAGCATAATTTGACAGTGTTGTAGGGTCGCATGGGAAGAGCTTCTGGAACTGTATGTCTCTTCTCCTTCTTTCTTCGTATGGTCAAGCAATAACATCTCCCATTTCCTCATAGATCCATTGATCTTCCGGGGGCGCTCTCATCACGTTCTCTCACCATTCGACTTCATAAGAAGCACAGAAGCATGCGCCGCGACATCATTGTCGGCGAGTCTACATACGTATACACCGGACGACTGTCACAGGATGATTACGACAGTAAGTCTTCCCATATTATATCATTGCGGGTCGGCGTCGGCGATTCGAAGGATAGATTCTGACGCCTTCAGCAGTTCCGCTCCGGAGTCAAAACGACACTGTCGCGTATCTGCGCTTCCAAGTTATGCAGGATGAAGTACGAAAGCAAGACACGGTTTCCCCCGAAGTCAGGCATGAACGTAAACGGCCCAAGAAGCGACGAAGGGGCGCTAAGGGCACCCGACTCGACCGGCTCCCATCGAATATTGATCCCAACACCACCCTGGAAATAACGCATGAGCCCGACAGTCAATTCCAGACCCAGGACGTTGATGCCCCGCCCGAATACGATTCCCTCTGGGATGATCCCTCAATCAACATCGAAGAGAACAAGTCGAAGAACCTTTTGCCACCTCCCTACGAGTTCCTGCTTCCGAATATTCTGCCCTTTGCCAACATTGGTCCACACGCTCGGGGAATCTCCGAATACACGTCCTCGACGCTAGATTGGGCTCTGAACCGGTTTACTTACTACAATGAGCTTCATACCGCAATTCATGATGCTCACTTGGAAAAAGTACGCGACAAACTGACCTTGGAATGGCATGATGTTCGAACACAGGTGCGTACATTGATCAATCATCGGACGGTTCTGTATCTGACACACCATTGCAGCTACTGGTCATTGCCGCGTAAGCTAGCCTTCATATGAAGATTCTGCAATACGTTGACGAACTTACCTCAAGTGCCGATGCCGCTGTGTACGGCTTTTCATCCGGAACCACCTTCGCAGTGGACATGGCTGCCTCCAAGTTTCTGATCCTATCCGCGATCACGGCGGCTTTCGGCCTCATTCTGGTTCAGAACCTACGCATGCGCTACCTGAACGCAGACGCAGTAACCTTCGCGGTATGTGCCTCCATGACCAGTCGATGGTCTCGTACTGAATCTTCTCCTAAGCGGCTGGCTCGCGTCAAGATCAGCGCAGAGAACGAAGAGCACTCATACGCATTCTTCGCCATCACTTCGCGGCTTCCTCTTCTCGCACTGTGTGCGTCGTTGACGTCGTTCTCCTTGTTCCTACTTGCCGTAGCATATATCGCTTGGCCTGGTGCTGTCCTTGTACTTGGATCGTGTGGCATTGTACTTGTTGGACTGCAGTATATCGTTGCAGTCTTACGATTACTCAAGAATAGTTTCGTTAGGATTACACGTGCCACTCACTGCGCGACTTGCGCGCTCTGCATGCGCATACGAGCACTGTTCATCTTGAATCGGACTCATGTTCCTGCAGTCACCGTATCGATACCTTTAGAGCCTGTCAGTACATCCATTGCCTCCTGCCCCTCCTCGTCTTAGGTTCCATACGGTAGTCTTTGCTCAAAGGACGATGTACAATACGGCACGCCGACTGTAAAAATGATGAAGTAACATGCTGCACGCGCATTGGACGAACTGCACGACTGAACAAAGTCACTTTCTCCCTTTACGCAACGACAACCAGCTGTGCGATCTCGAGTACTGAGGGGTGATTGTATGGTATACGTACTACGACACATCGATGTATAGGCTGAACTTGGGAGGTCCTTACTATGACCTTCGTTTGAAGGTAAGCGGTACGTCCTTGGGCCTAGTCAACGTGTCAGCGCCAATCGTGATATATCCAGGGCTGAATGGGCCCACTTGATCGTTGCACCCGCTACATGATCCAATATCTTCTCCCTTCTCACCCTTCTCGCCTCAGCGCTCTCATTGGGGACGTCATCATCGTGCGTAAGATGCACCGAGTAACGACTGAGTAGGCAACACAAGATCGCGACAGCCTCCGCCTCAGAGAATCGTTGTCCCATGCACCTGCGTGCGCCTGAGCTGAAAGCAACGAAGGCATCACGACGATGGATTTGAGCTTCCTTGTCTTCTACGGAGGTGAGCCAACGATCGGGGTTGAAGAGCAGTGGGTCGGTCCACAAACGCGCTATGTCAAGGGTTGGTGCAGGTTGGATACAGGATGAACACGCGACGTACGGTTCCGTTGCATGGCCGCTGCGTCAAGCAAGACAATAGCTCCAGCAGGTACGGGGAAGGTGTGAGCATTTCCGATGCCATCATGGATGGAGAGCGAGGTATCCTCAGCAGCCATCTTTGGTATGCTAACCACCGCAGGCCTGTGAAGTAAACGTGCGTCAAGGAAAGTTGCACCTGTCTGTGATGCACAACGTACTGCAGGCGCAAAGTTTCATGGAATACGCTGCAGATCCGTCAGTCACACCTATGTGAAGATACGCTCGAGTTTGACGTACGCAAGAGCATAAGATAACTTGCTCATCACCTCGTAGCCCCACGTTAGGTCCGACGCACCCTCCTCGTTCATTACGGTCCGTATCTCAGCGTAAAGTTTGTCCTGGACCTCGGGATATAACGCGAGATAGGCAAGAGTGACTACGGCGCGTTAGCCATACATTCTACTGATACACGGTCCTGATTTGGATCTGTATACGTACAACATATTGAGTGTGCCGTGGTTTCATGTCCCGCCTGCGCGAACATTAGTGGTGAGATCGGGGATAAATCATGCCATGTGGAGACTCACGACAAGAAATATGAAGATATTGCCTGGGAAGGAAGACAGATCAGCGCTCAGGGTCGAGCAAAGCTCTATCCGCAATCCCACTCACCCATCAGTTCGCGGTCGGAGATCGCGACGCGTCCACCAGCTTCCTCATCGGCTGCGTCGAGTAATCCGCTGAAGAGATCGTGACGCTCGTCCCTCTTGTCGCCACTCCTCCGCGATCGGATCATCTCTAGCATATATCTCTGTGTCACACAATAATCAGCATCTGCGATGGAACTGAGCAAAGAAGACGTGCTAACGTACATCAAGCTCCTCAAACTCCATCAGTACCCGTCGTCCTGGAGCAGTCAGGCTTAGAATCCTTTCTGAGAACATCACGCGGAACCCCATGTCGTGAGCGCAGGCATCTAGTGCAGCCTTGAAGCTCAGTTGGTGTCCTGGAGGCACGTAGTTGTCCGAGTCCCATGAGATGCGGCGTCCAAAGCCAGCCGCACCGATGACGAAGAGCGCAATCTAGACGTAGCGACCGAACGCAATCAGAGCGATACTGTGTCATCAGATGATTAAGACTTACAGGCAGTGATATGTCAAGAAAGTGAGGAACCACGACCTCGGGCGCGTTCACCCATACATCGTCCATCAGACCTCGCATGACGGTGCACGTCTCGTTCCAGACCAGGCGGATGTTCCTCTATACCCGTGAATGCATCTAGTCTCTATCCTCATGCATGAGTATGAATTGCTAACCTCTGAGAACGCCGGTGCAGAGATGCGATGATATTTGCGCCACTCATCGCCTTCCGACGCGATGATGTTGTTCCCGAAGATGGCAAACCCTTTGTAGATACCGAGTGGCTTTGGGAATACTACGCGGCGCATTGAGATGTCCTTGATGGCGGAGGGATCCGCAACGTGCACTACGATACCGCTAGGGTAAAGAGATATCTGCATAGCTGGTCAGCGTACGGCCCGATAGGAAGGTCGCTTCGTGGACATGCAGTACCTGAGCGTAGGCATCGTAACCCCCCTCTTCAAATGCTACGGTAGCTGGTCATGAGAGGCACACGGGACATTGTAGCGAGTTGCATACGAGCGTAGCCATTCGTGAGTACTTCCGCGGGTGTTCCGCGTATTGCGGCAAGCGCAAAAGAGACCATTGATAGGGGGTTGAGCACCGTAACTTTGTATGGTAGGTCACTACAGAGCACTTTAGACTTGATCTGATCCGATTGCCTTTGGAAGAAAGACACTTACCCGCACTGTGCAACCAGCCTGCGGTACTCAAGCGCCTTCTGTACGCCATACAACATGGCCAGCGAGGCCGCCGCCAAGGCAATAGTCTGTCCAGTCATCGTGGAGCGACGCTCGCAAAGGAGCCAGTGATGTTGAACAGTTGGAGATCCGTAGGGCTTCGTCGCCGCGCATCTATATACCACGGGAGCATACGCATTGAAAGTTGTGCGGGTGAAGTCGGAGTGCTTCGTCACGAACTCGGGAACTGCACTCCGGGCGTTGTTTCATGTTGGGAAGACACTATGAGATAGACAGCAGGAGTTTCCCTGTAGAGAGCGGAATTGGCTATAGTGCGTATTAAGAACATTGAAGACCGTTGCTCATTCATGTTTATCATCTGGTCATGGTCCTTGCCAAGTCACGGCGACGACAAGAAATTCCATTCGGCCCGGTTAGCCGACAGGTTGACGCGTCGACGCGGCGGTGCACCCGACGCCGTGCAGAGGACTACCACCAGCGGACAGCTACGGCCGGTATTATCAAATGCAGTCAGTTACCAGTATGGTCTCGTGTCTCACTCTGCACTTCGAGTCATACAGAGTCTCCAAGAAGCTCGGTACACGGATGACTTCGCAAGTTCTACGGCGCGCTTTCCAAACTTGAATTTGCGCCTTCCTGTCGCTCAGCGTGTCCACTTGGTATACCACTGGTATAGCGAGCGATTGATCGCTCTTACGCAAAAGGGGATGTGCCACTGTACTCGTAGTCGTATGAAAGGTCGGATCAGTAGGAAAGTACACTGCTGCGTCGTCTAGACGGGATAAGTAATAGTTATGCTCATAAAGTCCATGCTCAGTCCGTACGTGCTCCTCATGCTTCTGTACTGGTGATACGCGTAATACTCTTGGTGGTTGTGGTGACGTAGGTCGTTGTTGTCGTCACAGTGACTCTGCCGTGCATGTTGTCTACACGGCTCATGGTGTTCTCCGTCGTCAGTGGCGGGCTCAATGTGATCTGGGGTCGTGGACGTGCGGACGCCCTCCACACCGCACTTGCACCCAGGCCGACAGAGAGCGTAACAGGAGTTCCGGCAGTCGAATCGCTGAGGCCCAGAAGATAGTCTGTTCCCGGCCAGCGTATCCTGCGTACAGAATCAGTATCGTGCAGACGTCATAGCAAAGGTGTACTTACCTCACTAGAACATCCTCGTCGCTGTCATCGCCTTGCTCCTCGCTTGAGGGTAGCTTGTGCGCCTCGACCTCCCAGCACACTGGCCACTGGACAGATAGAGCAGGCGCGATCCCCGTTTGTGCCAACGCCGGAAGATCAATAGACAACCACGACCGTTCGCGCACGTTGCGTAGTGCGAACCCATCACCCATGTGGACGACCTCCCACTGAGAACAAAGTAAGTCCGTGCTACGTATACTACGAGGGAAGTTGACGCACCTGCTGATTCTCAAACCCATGTAGCCCAAAGGCTATCGCGGAGCGGTTGTTGCCGCCGTGAAGATCCAGCGCCGCACCCCACTTGTGGTCGGTAAGGACGTAGGCTCCCGGTTCAAGCGCGACGGAGGCTGGCGGTATCCATGGCTGATCAGGATGTGAACTGGCAACGGAGGATACTGGCGAGCTAGACGCGGAACTGGCTGTGGAAGGCTTCTCTTGGGGCGGCTCAGGGTGAACGCTCTCGCGTGCTTGTTGAAGAAGCCATTCGGTCGAACCCGCGATGCCGCCCGGGAGATGCTGGGGTTGAGAGTCGACTTCGCTCTCTACGACGATGCTCTCGAGCGTCGCTGAGCGTGGCCGTCCAAAGGTGCTCGACCGCGCACGGTTGAAGGGCTTCTCATGACCAACATCGGAACCTTCCTCTTGCGTACCGTACCCTTGATCATCCGAGTCGGCAGTCGTCACGACAGAAAGCCGCCTGGGTGCGAACGTGAGCGTACCGGGGACGTGCGGACCGCTTTGCGCGCGAGCTTCGATGATTGACGAGCGACGCGACTCGGACTCCTCGGCGATGAGAGAGAGCAAGCGACCGCGTCGGCCGCGAAGGGACTCTGATTCTGGATCCTCAGGGAGCTGTGGCGACAGCGGGGAGGTGGGCTCCGAGACGTCGTGCGACTCGCTCGCTACATCGGCGACGGTCGTTGCTTGCGTCTGCTCGAGTCCGGGTGGAGTACTCAAGTATCCGCTCTCGATGACTTGCGGCGTGAGGGTCGCGACTGAGGCCTCCGGCGCTGACTCGCTGGGTTCCTGAAGAGTTTCCTGCGCCTGAACGAAAGTCTCCTGCTCTGGTGCGGAAATCTCGTGCTCGACGTGGGGTTCAGGCGACATCGGTGCTGGCGTCACGTGCTGCTCAGGCTGAGCCTCCACGACCGACTCTGCCGGGGTAGTCTCAACCGTCGGACGTGACGAAGCTGGAGAAGACACTTCCGAGTAACTGGTCGGCGTTGGGAGACGCGCAGCCCGCTCAGCAAGAGACCTATCCTCTTCCTCGCGAGCCGCACGGCGACGTTCGGCCGTTTCCCGCGCGATAGACATCGCATGCTCTTTCATGCGCTCAATGGTCGACTCCACGGCACCCACAGCCGAAGACCAGCTTGCACGACGGTCTTCAAGGAACGCAGGCAGGCCCGATGTTGGTGATGGGGCAGATGACCGGCTCGGAGAAGGCATGGAGCCAGGCATGTCGCGGTCGCTATCCTTGCGGCGCGAAGGGGACTCGTCCCGCAAGTCACGCGAGGAGGACTCTGTAACGTCGAGCTCAGTATTCAGCGCCGCTGGCTGGACCGTGGGTCCCTGCTCTACGGCGGAAGGCTCGTTCGAGGGTGCCGCTGGAGTGGGAGAGAACGGCGGAGACGAAGTGCTGAGTTTAGGTGGTACTATCTCTGCTCCTCGAATGGGAAGAGTCGACCCGCGACGGGGTGACGGTGCCGGAGCATGAGCAGCGGGAGGAGGGCTGACTGGGCGTGGCGGCTGCGGCTCTGGTAGGCTGGACTGTGTCGGGGAATCGCGTTTGGGTGTCGGCGGCGGCATGTACTTGAACGATGGCTCGCGCCGAGTGATGGCATGGCGGATGGAACCGCGAAGCGATGGCGGCTTGTTAGTCCCATTGATAGACGCAAGGTCCGCTTGACTAGCATTGCGTGATTGAGATGGGCGAATAGACGGTGCGGGAGAACCACGGCTGCTGCTGGATGTGTTGCCCATGGCGAAGATAGAGAGTATGGCGAGCAGCTTAGCGATGAATACACAGATAAAGTATAAAGTGAAGATGGGTGCCCCTGGCTCAAGTGAAGTGCGTGAAGTGGCGACGGAATGTGTGCACACGACGGACCGACAGAAGTTCACTTATACTGTGGGCTCGAGGCTGCGTAGAGACGTCGTGCACTGAGCGTTTCATTATCGCCTGCCGTCAAACAGCAGGTAGAGGCAAGTTGAACACGCGCTTTGGTCGCCGCAACTCACACCACAGAATGGAGAACGGAGACATAGGGTGGGATTGATCCACGATGTCACCACGAGGCGCACCTCCGAACTTGATACACAGCCGGGAATACAGCCTACAAGCATACGATCAAGTTCTAGCTAGCTGATAAGCAGCGACATGCGGACGAAACAGGAGATAGCGGCCACTCAGACTGACAGACTCAGGGCTCGGCCACCTTCTCATCGTGCGACGAGGCAGTGTCCGCCTTGCTTTCCGTGCCTGTAGCGTCTCCTTTAGCACCGCCGTGCCAGACATCGAATTCGCCCTTGAGGTCGCGCTTCCAGACGTCCGCCAGGATGATCGTGAAAGCAGTGACGGACAAAACGGCAAAGATGAGGTTCAGTATGGCAGTCTACGCGATCATCAGCGTCGAGAACGCATGTTATAAGCTCTCCACCCTCACCTTCCACAGGAGGAACTTCGTTGCGTTGATACCGAATGCAATAGCTGCGCTGCCGCTCTCAGCGCTACGCAGGGTAGCGATGATGCGCGTCTAGGGGGTTATGAGTATGGAGAGGCTCGTGCCCAAAGAAGCAGACTGACCATCCGCGCTCCGTTGGCGCTATCCTTGAACAAATAACCAGAAATATACTGTCATAGCACATCAGCAATGGAATTTGAGGATTGAGCTTATGACTCACGTAGTTCATTCCGTATGAGTTCCACTGGAACGCGTATCCAAGAAGGGCAGGAACCCAAGCTGCGCCGAATGCAGCTCCATCGGTCCAATCATAGCGCGGCTTCTCGCCCGATTCGAGGGAGTCTGGCGTTCTGTTGAGCGTGATGTCCGAAGTCAAACAGATCCATACTCACTGGCTTTAACGAGCATCCAAATGATGCAAGCGAGTAGGCCGACTTGAATGGTACCATATACGATCAAAGCCTTCTTCCGCACGGCGAACTTGGAGTCCAGGGCGTGTCCGAGGAGCAGGAAGAAGAAGATGGCGACGATAGGAGCACAAAGAGAGGTGAGACCGCGGGTTCTACGAGGTCATGAGGCTAACGCTGCAAGTAGATGAGGCGGACCGACTGACCGGGTATTGAAGAAGGTCGCGACATAGGTGGAGACCATGGACGGCAGGAAGAGAGCCTGCGTCCACATGATGGAACAGACAGCAACGCGCCATTCGCCCAGCTCTTTGATTGTGAGCCATATCTCCCTAAAAGGTACTATTAGAAGCCGCATGCGGTGATAGCGCAGGAAGCTTACTTTGTGAACGACTCTTTCGGGAAGTCCATCACGGCCTTGCCGTCTGTACGCACGATCTCCTCCGGGTTGCGGAGCAGCAAGGCGACGAAAGGAGCAATGCACATCTGCGGGTATAGTTGAGCACGCGGCTTCGGTCTGGGCCACGGATAGACGCTCACCAGGCAGATGAAGACAATGTAGGTCTTCGGCGCCAAACCGCCTGCCGACCGATCGTTGTAGTTGAGAGCCAGGTTGATAGCGCCGCCGATGATCGTAGAGGAATAGTATCTGCGAGTCTGTTCAGCGAGCCTTCCGTGAGGGTGTGCAGCATAACTCACAAGGATTGCCACGTGGCGATCAACTTGCCCTTTTTGTTCGGTTCGGCGTAGTTCATGATCACGCTTCCCTCCGTGACCCAGAAGACTAGAGAGCGAGGTATCAGCGCCAGCGCCGCCCGCGAAGTAGACCGCAGAGACTTACGCCCTGAAGTCGCACCGCACACTATCGCCCCGACGATGAGACCCCATTGGTTGCCATACGCAGAGTTGGCGTATCTAACGAGAGTCGTGAGCTTCGGTTTATGGGAAAGCATCACGACAAGACGCACAGACAACCTGCGTAAGGCGCATATCCTGCAGCACCGAGAGCAAGAGTAATACGCGGTCCGAATTTGGAGATGAACGCGGTGGTTACCAGAGCCGAGGGTACGATAAGGGCACTGGAGGTAGTGTGTCAGTGAGGCGCTTCTTTGTCCGACACTTCTGAAGACGTACTATGCGACTGCAACAGATGCGTTACCAATCTGAACATTGGCCAAACCTCCGGCGCCGGTTGCGGCCATAGCCGAATACACTCCTGCGAAGGCCGATAGATCAGTTTGCGCGTCCACGTCCGCATAGTGCTTGACACTTGCCTGGAGCGAGGAATCCGGAGAGACCGACAACAATCGCCGCGCACCATGTCGAGCGCCAAAACGGCACTTTCACCTTCGCGGGAGCTGCGACGTTCGTGTCCATGTCGCGAGCGTATGGAGGCGTGTGCGGTAAAAGAGCACGGCCGACCGCCTTCCCCTCCAACGAGTCTGGGGCTTATAGGTGGGTCCGGTATCGGTGGCTCGTACCCCTGGCCAAGATGCCAAAGAGCGATCACTCTGATTAGCATCGGCCCTCATTAAGGTCAGTCGTCGATAACGGTTCCTGTGTGCAGGAGTTCGGGCGTCGGCACATCCGAACAAGACCCAGAGCCGCCGTCTATCGTATCGGCGCTCGTGCTATCGTCTGCGCCTCCTAATGGATGTCCCGTGTTATCTATATGATTTATCTCTTCATGATGGTCAGTACGAGGAGCGATATTTGGGGGCTGGGGCCGTTTTTGAGGACAGCACATGCTCTAGCAACTTCGTACGGCAATCGTGGGTAATCATGTCGAGTCAGCTCCACGACAGGAAATTTGCAGCAGAAACATGTAGGCGCAACAATGTACGGGCTGCTATCGGTCACGCGAGAGCGTATATTGAGGTAGAAGTCGGAGTACAAAGACCATATGATGGCGGTCCGGTGAGAGCGGTGTCTGAGGTACTCGGGGTGCGCAGCAAAGCCAACCAAAGCCGAAAGTCCCCGACCGATTTTCGGCGTTAACGAATTCTATCCCCTGTTTAATTACTTCGTTCTGAATCACGTCTTGACACGAATTACAGCTTGCACACGAACGTCCACCAGCATACCCTTTTGCGCGCCAACACGTTAGAATATCTCGTCTAGAGGACTCTTCAAATTCTATACATCACTACGCGCCACAACTAGCCATGGCGCCCGTCGCAACGCACACGCGGTCCGTTCGGTCCGCCGACCTCAAAAGCACACTCATCGAGCGCGACCTTCCCGGCAACGCTCGTACCGTCTTGGAGCTTGATCACACCAAGGGCGGGCAGCAACCCGGTGTACACAATCGCTGGCATCCTGAGATACCTGTCATCGAGACTATCCGGCCTGGAGAAGTTGTGCGCGTCTGGACCCTTGACTGGAGCGGTCAGTGTCGTGTTCCTGAGTTTGAGGACGTCTAACTAAACGCCCAACTTTTCTTCACGGCATATAGGCGGTCAAGTCACCAACGACGACTGCGCGGACGACGTACTTGCCATCGACCATGACTCAGATCACCAACTCAGTGGTCCCTTCAACGTCGAAGGTGCTCAACCCGGCGACGTTCTGGCCGTTGATATTGTTCATCTAGAACCCTCGGAGGTAACCCCATGGGGTACGCTCTATTCACCAAAGCCCTCTCATGCTGTCTCTGACAGTTTGAGCAGGGTACTCCATTGTTGGCCCCGGCATTGGCAGCTTAGATCGCCCAGGCGTTCGCTACGCAAAGGCCATCTGGGACTTCAGAGGTGCGGGTCACTGGAACATGTGTGGTATACGTGTACGCTGACATACAGCTTTCATCCGTATGCAGATGGCGAAACGTCTTCACGGCATATTCCCGGCGTACACTTCGGAGGCCGTATGTTCCCAGGGATTGTCGGTGTTGCTCCTAGGTAACCTCATGCTCCTAGCTTCTTCGTGGGTATCTTGTCCTGAACTTTTCTTAGTCAGGACCTTCTTACTCAGTGGACTGCTCGCGAAGCAGAGCTACAGTCTGCGTACAGCTGTCACGGGTTTGAGGCGAGCCCGCTCCCCACAAACAACGCCGCTTGGGTCGGCGCTGTTGGCCAAAAGATACCCGGACTTGTAAGACAACGTATCTACAACGAGGGTGCCCGAACGGGACCGGCACGGGAGGTACATCACAATCATTCATGTGTTGCGGCGCCAGTTTCTCACGTCTGCTTCAGAATGGAGGTAACATGGACTTTGCAAGTCTTGTAGCTGGCTCCCGCCTTTACCTCGTAAGGCCAGCGGTGTCCCCCCATTTGCCTCGATGCTGACCGATTGCTTTGTTAGCCTGTCTTCGTCGAAGGTGCGAAGCTGTCCCTTGGAGACGTACACTTCTGCGAAGGTGATGGCGAACCGACCACGGCTATTGAGATGTCGGGTGCGTACCTGCGTGTGACCCCGTCATGCGCCAACACCTGAACACCATCTTACATAGCCGTTGTCACTATCCGCTGCTCAGTCATCAAGAACGGCATGGCCAACTTGGGTATTCGTCAGCCTGTATACGAGGTATGTTCGCAGCATCAGCGCTGCGACTTCATATCTGATCATTACTTATCCCGCTCAGACAAGCGCCTCTGAGCCGCGTTTCCCGCGACAGCTGGTCTTCACGGGTAACTCAGTCAACCAGGCTGTGGGCGGGCGGCAACATATGCAGAACGGCATACTCTCGTACCGCAATGCGGCGTGGGACGCGATGGATTACCTGAAGAAGTTCGGCTACACAGAGGAACAAGCCTACATGCTCCTTGCGTGCGCTCCGATCGAAAGCCGAGTTCTCACCACCGCCAATAAGCCCAACATGGGCGTATCACTGGGTCTCCCGTTGGATATCTTCGACTTCGATATCGGCTTTCCTGCTAGCGGCGCGCCTACTCAACGCGTCTTCAGCGGACCGGCTGAGCTGAGCGAAGAGAAGGCGGCCAAAATATACCCGGAACAGGCGGAGGAGGTCCTGTGAAGGGAGAATGATGGATCTATATATGTAATGTATCACTACCAGGCACCTGTACCACATTGTAGCACAAGGGATTTGAATGTTTGGCTTTCTGTGAAGTGTATCCGTAGAGACCTAGTGGAATCACGCGAGCGCCCGGTTTGCAGATCGATTGGATAGTAGAGTAGATACTGATACTGATATAGACGTAATTCGCTGCGCAGACAGTAATAGCCTACACCAAGTTATCGTAGATCGTCTTCTCGATGTTGTCCGCCAGGTGATGGAACCGCGGTACACCGTACCTGAGCGAATGTCAAGAGAACTGTCAAATAGCTGTAGTGGAGTCCGCTTGACTTACGGAAGGATACAGTTCGCCACCAAATACGCAACACCCTTGGTAGCGTCAGCCACCCATACAAGGTTACTAATACCGCCCTGTAGCTAGCAGTCAGCATCCATTCAATCAACACGGGGTCGAACCTGGCTTACCCATTCGCCAGAACCAGGCGTGCGACCGGTAGGCAGCGTAGTCTCGTTCAAGAGCATAGAGTACCCCCACCCTTTGTTCTCGCCGAGCGCGAGAGGCTCGCCAGCGTACTTGGAGTCCGATACGTCTGCTGGCTCGGAGATCGTCTTCTTGATATCGCCGAGCTGATCTTGCCACCTTGAAAGGAGTCAGACGCATGTTGGGCGATACACAACGATAGGACGTACATCATCTTGACCGTCTCCTCCTTCAGCACGCGCGTCCCATTAGCGCCCTTCCCCCCGTTCAAGAGTACGACCAAGATCTGCAGGTAGTCCGCCACCGTACTGAAGAGGCCGCCACCTGAAGATGACATATGAGCGGCGTCTACGCTATAGATCGATCGAGCTGCTTACCGCCTCCATGAATCTGAGGCGTTCCCGCAAGTCGTGTATGTTCACGAGGACCGAAGGTGCCCTCCTCCTTGTTCCAGGCATGGATAGGTGCCAGCCGCGCCTTCATGTCCGGGCGCTTCGACAGATCAAAGCAGACGTCCTTCACGCCCAGGGGCCCAAAGATGTTCTGCTCCATGTAGTCGCCCAGCTTCATGCCCGTCGCGGCCTCGACAACTAGTCCAGCCCAATCCATGTTGATACCGTACGAGTACCTGCAGAACGCAGAGCGTCAAAGATAATCCCGACGAAGAATGGTTCACAGCGCGTACCTAGTGCCGGGTTCGAAGATGAGGGGCATCAAGCGCCTGGTCCCGCTGAACTCGTCGACCTTGTTGATGTCGGACCAGTTCTTGATGTGCTCGGAGTACCAGGAGTAGCTGTACCCCGCAGTATGCGTAAGAAGATGATGGAGCGTGATCTTCTTCTCCGCCTTCCTCGTCTCGATGCTGGTGGGCGTGGACGCGATGATGATACTGATAGCTGGCGTGAGCGAGGTCGACATGCGGCCAGGATGCGACGCACTCGGGTTCCGCGAGCTCAGGGCAAAGAGTGCCGAGAGGCTCATGCAGAGAAAGCTTCCCGCTCTCAACGAGTTGCATGCACGCAATTGCGGTCACAATCTTAGTGCAGCTTGCGATCCAGAAGACCTGGTCCTGCGCCATGGGCTTGCCGGTTGTGATGTCGCTGGGTCCAGCGGCTGCATTGAAGAGCAGCTGCCCCTCGGAGTTCACAATGCCTACGAGTCGTTCAGTGGGTGACGATCAATAGCTCAAGAAGTTACGCACCGACTGCAGTCCCAGGCTTGTCCGTCTCCGCACCGTACTCCTCGACGAGCTGCTTCAGCCGGGCAATACCAGCATCGGATATCTTAGCTGCAGGCATGGCTGAGGGAATGAATGTGGCGTTTTGGGGGAAGACAAGATACGCGTAGGATGTAGGTTAGTGCTCGGGCCGCCGCTGTCGCTCTTTCCACAAGAGGCACCGGGCCAATCATCCAGATAAGTATCAGTCAGTATCAGCAGACATGGAAGTGATCGACTGGGCATGTCCCTCTTCACCCGTCCGTGATGCTAAAAAATGAAGATAAGAATGGGATCAGACGGGTTTGATCCCGTTCTAATTCGTATCCGCCCCGCTTGTAGGGCGTATACCATACGGTATACCAGTATACCTGCGTTGCCATCACCAAGGGCGCTGAGAACGTCCGGAGGCTCTCGGCCTNCGCTCCGGAGTCTCCGCGCGCGCCCACACGCGTGTCCGCGGCGGGCAGAGGCATGCCCGGCCATCGATGGCGCCGCGCCGCCGCGTGTGAGTCGCGCCTCCCATCTCGCGCGTCGTGCTCGCTGTCCCCGACGACGACGTTCCTCCCCGCCCGTCCCTATGTAGCTACCCCCATGATGTATATATCGTTGGAATCGTATAAATTAGTGTGATTAACGTATCCCTGGTCCTATCTGAGAGGGTGGTTATGATGTTCATGCAAAGGTACATGTACTACAAGAATGAGGGATGCGATACTGTACTGGAGGCCCCCGAGTGTGAGGTCTACGTAGCTGTGGATTGCCTAAGTATGGGCCTCTGGGCAAAGGCTCGCACTGAGCTTGGGCTCGACGCTGCGCCTCGCGCGGAGGGTGTGAGCCTCGTGGTCGGGGCTTTTTGATGGCGAGATCATTGAGCACTGTCCCGCCTGTATCTCCTACGCATAGGCTGTCCCTTCCGTTTCAA